GTCTCCTCCAATTATTGCACAATATTGTACAATTACTTCCAGGAACTGTGACACCATGGTGTTATTATGTTCATATACCATTGAGCGTTTTCATCTATCAATCGTTCCAGATTTCTCATGTTGGGCAGGTTACTGTAATACAGTATATCCAAGACACCATGTACTGCGCCTCTACAGTTTCCAAAACATTAGCAGAGTGTCTCCCACCATACTTATTGGGTTATTTCGACCAAAATGTCCAGGGTTGGTAATCAGGGGCTTGAGCATTGGTCTGAGGCTAGGCCGTGGGCGCCTGCGAGCATGTTAGTAGTGGGCTGCTGCCCGTACTGGGGAAGGTGGCCCTGGACAAATCCACGATGCTTGGTTTCACCCCTGGGCACAGTCTCTCTGGTAGTGTCCGAACTGTTTGCACCAATGGCACTGTATTCCACTGCATGCTGGGTATTGGGGTGCCTGTGGGCTGGGGATGTGCCCTTTTCATTGCTGTACTGGTGGGCCAGGGTTGGTGCTCAGGGGTCTAAGCATTGGCCTAGGTCGTTGCTGCCTGCAAGTGTCCTGGTATTCATCAGCTTGGCAGGCTGCTTCTGTTAAGGTGGTGGTCTTTCGATCTCTTACCCACTTGTACCTCTGATTCAGTCCGTTGTAAAATTGCTCCAACAGGATTAGCTGTGTGACTTCTTCCCTGGTTCTGGCTTGGCTCGCTTGGAACCAGGTCAGTGCTGCACGCTGCATTCGGCATCTCCATTCGGTGTGGGAATTTTTATCTTGTTTCTTCATCTCCCGAAAGCGTCTCCTGCAGGTTTCGGGTGTAATGGCATATCTTGCAAAGATTACCTCTTTCACTCTAACATAGTCTGTACTTTTTTCATCTGGGACGGCTCTGCCTCAGATGCTCTGCCCGACAATTTACCAGCCAAGATGCGTATCCAATCTGCTGGTGGTACTTGATACAAGTGGCACTGTTGCTCAAAGTCTTGCAGTAATCCATCTATATCTTCATCTGTTTATACAAACTATTTAAACGCATTATGGGAAATCTTTGTCTTTACCTCCGGTGTCTGTGTGGTAGCTGGCAATCTTTCCAGGGGGTACTGTTTGGCTAACCGAAGTTGTTTCTCGCGTTCCACCTGTGCCAACATGTAGGCATCTACTTGTGCAAGAGTTGTTCTGATGATCTCCATCGGGGGGTTCTCTCCATAGAAAGCTAGCCGGCGTTTCACTTCCCCATTAAATTCAGTCTCCATAATTACGGGTGTAACGCTGTGGGACCGGTCTCCCTCTGTTAGCTTTGCTATCAGCGTTGCCTTTTTTATATTGCTGGCTATCTGTCCTCTTCTCTGCAAGGTTTATATCCCGTCGCTTGCCACCGAATGTGATGGAGCTCCAGTACTCCGACCAAGTACCTCCGCCAAGTCTGCTTCCTCTTAGTTATCAGGGACCCTGGAGCACTTCATATCCAGTCGCCGAGGCTTGACTGGGATCACTGAGGACTTTTTCCACCCTGGGCCAGGCTACTGTGTTTATAGCCCTGGACACACTTTCCATCAGTAGATTATATCCCTTTCTCCAAACACCAGACGACCCATGGTGAAGGTTAATACAGCAACTCCTTTACTAGACATAGCCACATATTTCAAGCCCCCAGCAGCTTAATTTGCATACAATGGTGCATAGAGTACTATAGTACAAGGAAGGGTGGGGTCAGACAATAGCAAGGGCTGATGGGAGATTGAGGAGGGACAAAGAAGCCAGTTTAAACTGGTCTGGCAGTGTCCCTGGGACAACGCCCTGCTGGGGAAACAATGGGACAGTATTAAGGGGGAGGGAGAGAGGCACAGACAAGCAATACATTCAACATACCCTGCACCAATAATGGGCAAAGGGTGACCAAAATACAAAAGGAATCTGGTGACCCAAACATAGTTGGTTCGGTAAACGAATGGGGGGTGTACAGACAGCCGAACAAAAGGGAATAAACGTGTAGTTAGGGCATTCATTCCGCTACATACACCAATTTGTCTCAGATCTAGAGAAGGATAGATCATGGATTCCTTCTCATAGATACTCTGGAGTTGAGGCTACGTGATGGTTTATTTGAAAATGTGACGGTTTACTTTGTTGCAAATTGCCAATTTTTGCAGAAATTTTTTTTTTTTTCAGAAGACAGACAAATTTACAGTGGTGGAAAAATTCTGCCATCTTCCTGTCATAATATCATCAACTCCATCATCATAAATATTATATTCAGAAGTTGTGTCAGAAAAAAAAGCGCATATTCAAAAATAACAGTTAATAAATGTTTTACTATCTAATAAAGCAATAGAGAGTAAAAATCCAACAGATTGGAAAAATTGAGTAAAACATTCTGAGAAAATTAGATGGAAAAATGTCAACGATGCTCTGCTATATGTCTTCCATTGTTCCTCTTTAAATGATAGCACTGAGGTTAACTAGTGCTGTGTCTCTCTGCTCATATTATCTAGAGACCTGAGTCTAGAACGCATTTTTCACTATATTAGTTGTATATGACACATTATCTATAATAAAGTATTTCAGATGGCTATAGGGATGAAACGGTTTTGGTTTGATTTTTGTCTTAGTTGTCTGAGTCACCTAGTGGAACTGTTTCTTGTGGTCAGTGTTCTAACGCTAATTACATATGGCGCCACTTTAGGAACCATAATAACCTCACTGCAGTGAAGTTGTTATGGTGCCAGGAGGTCACAGACGTGATCTTACCTTAAGCAAATGAGTTAACCGCAAACTTTCAAACACAGCGCCTGTTCAATCTTCCCAGCTACTTCCTTCACAGGTGAAAGGTTTCAGTTAAGCACACTGCTGATAGGATGAGAGCGCCATTCAGACAGTCTGAGTCCTGATTGAAACTCAGACCCTCGAGAAAGTAGCTGGGCAGAATTAACAGGTGCTGTCTTCGAAATTTTGGGGTAAAACCCTTTGTTACGGGTTAAACTCCTTAAGGTAGTATGGTGCCTGGAACCATAACAAAGTCATTGCAATAAGTTGCTATGGTACACAGAGTATCCCTTTAATAATACAAAGTTAGCAGATTGAGCCTACATATTGAAAAGGAATTAACTCTTTTTATTAATCTGTAAATATATTTTATTTTTGTGTTCCTGGAACTCCACCTTCTCAGTCTGGCCCTGGTACTTTCCGAACAATAAAAAAAAAGTTCTTCGACTGAGTCACTGGGTCCTACTCTCGCGAGCACGGAGCGTTGCCGCAGTTACCACGGCAACGCTCCAAATCTCGCGAGAGTGAACTCTAGCCCTGGAGCGCGGGCTAGAGTTCACTCTCCCCACTGGGACCAAAAGGGATTCCCCACCGGACCACCAGGGACTAAGAAATGTCCCCCCTCCTCCTCAATAAAGGTAAGAAGGGAGGGGGGGACATAGAATATTTATTTTAATTAAATTAAAAAAAAATATATATATATTATTTAAAAAAAGCCCCCCTGCCCTTATCACACACACACGCTACACAAATACACTGCCCCCCATACACACACCTTGCCCCCATACTGCCCCCCATGCACACACATTGTCCCCCATACACACATACTGCCCCACATAAACACATACTGCCCCCCCATACAGACATACTGCTCCCCCATACACACACACTCTACACACATACACTACCCCCATACAGTGGCGGATCCAGAGCCTGACCTCGGGAGGGGCACTTGTAGATTATTTAAATAAATAATCCAGGCACAATAACCACTACAGCTCAGTGTAGTAGTTATGGTGTCAGTAGTGCCAGGATTCCACCCCAGAGTAAGTAGTCATACCGTTTAAGAACAGTTTGACAACTTACCTGGGGTCTGCTGGGATATAGGGTATAGGAGCAGTGGTGTGTGTTAAGGGTGAAGTGTGTGAGTGCGGCAGTGTATGTCAGGGTTGTAGTGTGTGTGTTAGGGGGCAGTGTATGTATGGGGGAACATGTGTGTGTGGGGGCAGTGTGTGTATGGGGACAGTGTGTGTGTATGGGGACAGTGTTTGTGGGGCAGTGTGTGTAGTGTGTGTATGGGGACAGTGTGTGGGGCAGTGTGTGTGTATGGGGACAGTGTTTGTGGGGCAGTGTGTGTATGGGGACAGTGTTTGTGGGGCAGTGTGTGTATGTGGGGCAGTGTGTGTATGGGGACAGTGTTTGTGGTGCAGTGTGTGTATGGGGGGGCAGTGTGTGTATGGGCAGTGTTTGTGGGGGAGTGTGTGTATGGGGGCAGTGTGTGTATGGGGGGCAGTGTGTGTATGGGGACAGTGTTTGTGAGGCAGTGTGTGTGTATGGGGGCAGTGTTTGGGGAGCAGTGTGTGTAGGAGGGGGGACATTTCCCTGGTGGGGGATTCATTGGTGGTCCCAGTGGTGAGAGTGAACTCTAGCCCGCGCTCCCAGGCTAGAGTTCACTCTCGCGAGATTTGGAGCGTTGCCGTGGTAACCGCAGCAACGCTCCAAATCTCGAGAGAGGAGGACCCGGAGGAGCTGCAGACTGAGCTCCCGGGTCCTCTCTCTCACTCCCTCCCTCCGCCGCCTGCTGTCAGTACGGTGCCTGTGCACCAGGGAGGGAGATCTCTGATCTCCCTCCCTGGTCCGCAGGCACATTGCAGGGCTGGCACTTGGGCAATGCCAGCCCTGCGTTAGCCGGCAGGAGGGGAATCTCGGGGGGGGGGGCAATTGCCCCGTTGCCCCCCCTGGATCCGCCAATGCCCCCATACACATTGCACCACTCACACACACCCCTGCTCCTATGCCCTACTACAGCCCCATTTCCCAGCAGACCTCAGGTAAATTGTCAAACTGTTCTTAAACGGTTTGACTACTTACTCTGGGAGGGGGTCCCAGCACTATTGACACCATAACCACTACACTAAGCTGTAGTGGTTATTGTGTCTGGATTATTTCTTTAAATAATCTACAAGTGCCCCTCCCGAGATCAGGCTCTGGATCCTCCACTGTCTCAGTCTGGCCCTGGTACTTTCCGAACAATTAAAAACAAGTTCTTCGACTGAGTCACTGGAAAACAAGAACAGATTAGGAAATATTTTGAGACACTGAATTAATAAGGGTGTCAATAAGATATATTTAGCTCAATTCGATATATATTGCACAACGAAAGGAGCATTTTAACCACCAGGACATACCAGCTGGCTCACAGAGAGATACTGGCTGCCGCACGTTAGCCAAAGTAAGGAGACCGCAGACAGGTGAGATTAGAGCGTTAGTTTGTATTTATCATTTTATTGATTAATGACCCAAATAACGATTAGATTAACTTTTCAATTCTTATAACCTGTAGCCAATACAATTCTCACACACACACCCTGACTGTTCCTCAACATTAAAAAGTAAAATCCAGGTTAAATTTGGATAGAAATAACACTCCTATAACACCGGGCAGTAATGGTCGGGTGAAACTCGCATTGATTGTACATTGTTATTATTATTATTATTATTTATAATGTACATCTTTGCTCAATTGTTGTCATAGCATGAAGGCTTGAGCTATAAGAAGGAAGGTGGCCAGCTGGCAAATATATAGGGAATAGTTTACAAATAGTGTGCACTCAAGACTGAATTAGGGAGCAGACTAGCCACCTCCAGGAGTGTGCGTATCGAGTGATCATCTTTTTAGCTAAAAATAAAGAATTGATTGTTGTTGAGATGTTTGTGCTGCGGTAACGAAACGTAATACAGAGACATCATTTTTATTGAATAATGGCTCAGTGCAAGAGTAGCTAAAAAACGAATTCTGCATAATTCTCGTTAGTGATCACAGTTATTTAACCCCTTAAGGACCAAACTTCTGGAATAAAAGGGAATAATGACATGTCACACGTCATGTGTTCGTAAGGGGTTAATGGTGGAGTTTACTCTGTATTTATTCTGTTACTGGGAGTGCTGAGTGAAAGGGTTAATCTGTATTCATTCTGTTACTGGGAGTGCTGAGTGAAAGGGTTAATCTGTATTCATTCTTTTACTGGGAGTGCTGAGTGAAAGGGTTAATCTGTATTCATTCTGTTACTGGGAGTGCTGAGTGAAAGGGTTAATCTGTATTCTTTCTGTTACTGGGAGTGCTGAGTGAAAAGGGTTAATCTGTATTCATTCTGTTACTGGGAGTGCTGAGTGAAAGGGTTAATCTGTATTCATTCTGTTACTGGGAGTGTTGAGTGAAAGGGTTAATCTGTATTCTTTCTGTTACTGGGAGTGCTGAGTGAAAAGGGTTAATCTGTATTCATTCTGTTACTGGGAGTGCTGAGTGAAAGGGTTAATCTGTATTCATTCTGTTACTGGGAGTGCTGAGTGAAAGGGTTAATCTGTATTCATTCTGTTACTGGGAGTGCTGAGTGAACGGGTTAATCTGTATTCTTTCTGTTACTGGGAGTGCTGAGTGAAAAGGGTTAATCTGTATTCATTCTGTTACTGGGAGTGCTGAGTGAAAGGGTTAATCTGTATTCATTCTGTTACTGGGAGTGCTGAGTGAAAGGGTTAATCTGTATTTATTCTGTTACTGGGAGTGCTGAGTGAAAGGGTTAATCTGTATTCATTCTGTTACTGGGAGTGCTGAGTGAAAGGGTTAATCTGTATTCATTCTGTTACTGGGAGTGCTGAGTGAAAGGGTTAATCTGTATCCTCTCTGTTACTGGGAGTGCTGAGTGAAAGGGTTAATCTGTATTTATTCTGTTACTTGGAGTGCTGAGTGAAAGGATTAATCTGTATTCATTCTGTTACTAGGAGTTACTGAGTGCTGAGTATAAGGGTTAATCTGTATTCATTCTGTAACTAGGAGTGCTGAATGAAAGGGTTAATCTGTATCCTCTCTGTTATTGAGAGCGCAGAGTGAAAAGGTTAATCTGTAGAGTCTCACTGCTCAATTCTCTGCCATTTAAATCACTTTGTTTCTGCAATCCTAGTTACACCTCTCTGCATGTAACTCACAAAGTCTTCCTAAACAATTCCTGTATAGAGAGATCTAAGATTTACACTTCCTAGCTTGCACATTCTGTTTAGTTTATCATTTCTTATCTCCTGCTCTGTTAATAGCCTTCTAGATCCTACAGAAGCCTTCTTCTCTATGTGAATAAAGTTCAAATTACAGAGCAGGAGATACAAAGTTAAGTAAGATTGGAAATGAAACAATGTTTCATGCAGGTTGTGTCAGTCACAGCCAGGGGAGGTGAGGTTAGGGCTGTATGAACAGAAATAAAAGTGATATAAATCCTAAATGGCTAAAAATTGAGCAGTGACACTACAAATGCATGACCTATATACCAAAACTGCCTCATTAAGTGAGAGTTGTTTTGGTGACAATAGTGTCCCTTTATTAAAAAATGCAGCCTTGCTTCCTGTGAGTGAATAGTTTGTGCCTATTGATTATTTTGATTATTTTGATGTGGGAATAGATGGTGTAGACACCACAGCGGCCATATTGATAAATGAGAAAGAAACATCTGGTTAAATTACGATACTTACTCTCACGTGTTAGATTTTCCAAATTGTCCAAACTGCACTTACACTCTGATTTAATATTAAATAATATGGGATTTCATGATTTACTATAATGTTGACATATTCACCATATAAATCTATATTTTGAATATATAGCCATTTATCTGTTCAGATCTGGGAATTGGACTTTTGTCAAATTAATGTTTATATACTAAAGTGTTATTTCTGCCCAACGCATTTCATACAATTCTGGAACGTCTTATGTTAGAAATATTTTGTAGGAGGTTTAATCTAATCAAGACGTTCCTCACTGTGAAATCAATCCAATATCAGTATCATGTAACATTGTTCTTTGATTTCTGCAGGTGAATATATTTTTCTTAAATCGAGAAGCAGAACGAGCCATGGCTAAGGTTATAAGGAAAGATGGCGGCTCTGTAAATATACGCGGAAACATGCCGGAATCTTTATCTGATGAGACAATCACAGTGGATGTTACAGAAATCCTGCCACCACCTTCACCAATATATTTATATTACTTGGAAACCAATCATTTACCATTTGATGGACAAACCAATAGAAAAACTTTTATTCCCTCCAATATCATGTGTATGGCTTGCTACTTACCTGGAAATGGGGACAAAGAATGGTGTAAAAAGAATTGTTACCACTGAGTAACATAAATACAATAAGCACTTTGTTTTTAAAAGAAACTGTTACATAAAAATATCCTCTAATAAAATCCTTCATTAAAACCTATTTTCTGTCTATTGATGTTAACTCTGCCAGAAGATATTCTGCTTCCACAGAAGGTCTAATATGGTTTGTGATGTGCCACGTTATTTCTGTAGCCTGTGTAGCCAAAAATCCTGGCGCCTGCCCTGTGTCTACGTTCTCATGTTACTTCTATTACATGTCTTTACTGCTTTTAAATTTACTGTTTATTCCCTATAACGTTGCCTCCAGATTTCTCTGAATGTTTGCCCTGAACTGAGTTGTCACAGAATGTGGTTCTTTATAAAAACTGTATGTAATGGATCACCTGGCACACAGACTTGGTACCTCCGTTGAAGGATGCTCCTAGCGCTTCCTGAGGGTTTCCAGCACTCAAGCAGACACCATAACCGTATGGGGAGCAGTGTGTGTATGGGGGGGCAGTGTGTGTAAAGGGGGGCAGTGTGTGTATGGGGACACTGTTTGTGGGGCAGTGTGTGTATGGGGGGCAGTGTGTGTATGGGACAGTGTTTGTGGGGCAGTGTGTGTATGGGGACAGTGTTTGTAGGCAGTGTGTGTGTATGGGGGGCTGTGTTTGGGGGCAGTGTGTGTATGGGGGGGCAGTGTGTGTAAAGGGGGGCAGTGTGTGTATGGGGACACTGTTTGTGGGGCAGTGTGTATATGGGGGGCAGTGTGTGTATGGGGACAGTGTTTGTGGGGCAGTGTGTGTATGGGGACAGTGTTTGTAGGCAGTGTGTGTGTATGGGGGGCTGTGTGTGTGTATGGGGGGGGCAGTGTGTGTGTAATGAGGGGGGAAGGAGGCTTTTTAATAATACATTTTTTTTTATTTAATAAAATAAATATTCTATGTCCCCCCTCCCTTCTTACCTTTATTTAGGAGGAGGGGGACATTTCCCTGGTGGGGGATTCATTGGTGGTCCAGTGGTGAGAGTGAACTCTAGCCCGCGCCCCCGGGCTAGAGTTCACTCGCGAGATTTGGAGCGTTGCCATGGTAACCGCGGCAAAGCTCCAAATCTCGAGAGAGGAGGACCCGGAGGAGCTGCAGACTGAGCTCCCAGGTCCTCTCTCTCACTCCCTCCCTCCTAAGCTGTAGTGGTTATTGTGTCTGGATTATTTATTTAAATAATCTACAAGTGCACCTCCCGAGATCAGGCTCTGGATCCGCCACTGTCTCAGTCTGGCCCTGGTACTTTCCGAACAATTAAAAACAAGTTCTTCGACTGAGTCACTGGAAAACAAGAACAGATTAGGAAATATTTTGAGACACTGTATTAATAAGGGTGTCAATAAGATATTTTTAGCTCAATTCGATATATATTGCACAACGAAAGGAGCATTTTAACCACCAGGACATACCAGCTGGCTCACAGAGAGATACTGGCTGCCGCACGTTAGCCAAAGTAAGGAGACAGCAGACAGGTGAGATTAGAACGTTAGTTTGTATTTATCATTTTATTGATTAATGACTCAAATAACGATTAGATTAACTTTTCAATTCTTATAACCTGTAGCCAATACAATTCTCACACACACACCCTGACTGTTCCTCAACATTAAAAAGTAAAATCCAGGTTAAATTTGGATAGAAATAACACTCCTATAACACCTGGCAGTAATGGTCGGGTGAAACTCGCATTGATTGTACATTGTTATTATTATTATTATTTATAATGTACATCTTTGCTCAATTGTTGTCATAGCATGAAGGCTTGAGCTATAAGAAGGAAAGTGGCCAGCTGGCAAATATATAGGGAATAGTTTACAAATAGTGTGTACTCTAGACTGAATTAGGGAGCAGACTAGCCACCTCCAGGAGTGTGTGTATCGAGTGATCATCTTTTTAGCACAAAGACTCTGGCTACACAAAGAAAGCTGGCTGGCTGGCAAATAGATAAGGAATAGCTAACTATCGGTGTTCATTTCAGACCTAATCAGGGAGCAGCTTAGCCACATCCTGACTGTGTATAGTTATTGTGGATTATTATCTAAACATTTATATTTTTAATAAATAGGGAAGAGTGGAACTGGAAGTGTCTTAAAGACCAATCAGGGGCCAGCACAGCCACCCCACACATTGTTCACTGACAGAATGGATTTTTGTTGGTTTAGATTTTACCACCAAACTTGATTTCTCTTGAGGTGTAAGGGAGATCTCTAATAATAACTCCAGTTAGTGTAAACGAAGCTATTGATGGAAGCTTTTTTAGGACTTGCAAGGATTCTATGTTCTGCAGGTTGAATTTCTTTCTATATGCAGTATGTATATATTGAGATTGTTGACACTTCCAGGGAATACAAATTGTAATTGTTGCCATAAGCAGATTGGACGGAATTGTTAATATCTGTTTCGTTGCAGCTAAAATATATGTTGCAAATGGTGTTTCCACTATTGCAACACTGAACGAGAACTCATTCACGAGAAGTTACGTTTTATTTCCCCACAGTTAAATAATCTATCTAACGGGAGAGTTAACACCCCTCTTTTGTGGACCACGAAACCACAACTGGTTAGGGAAACGGAAGGGGTTGGGTTTCTTATTGCTAAAAATAAAGAATTGATTGTTGTTGAGATGTTTGTGCTGCGATAACGAAACGTAATACAGAGACATCATTTTTACTGAATTATGGCTCAGTGCAAGAGTAGCTAAAAAACTAATTCTGCATAATTCTAGTTAGTGATCACAGTTATTTAACCCCTTAAGGACCAAACTTCTGGAATAAAAGGGAATAATGACATGTCACACGTCATGTGTTCGTAAGGGGTTAATGGTGGAGTTTACTCTGTATTTATTCGGTTACTGGGAGTGCTGAGTATAAGGGTTAATCTGTATTCATTCTGTAACTAGGAGTGCTGAATGAAAGGGTTAATCTGTATCCTCTCTGTTATTGAGAGCGCAGAGTGAAAAGGTTAATCTGTAGAGTCTCACTGCTCAATTCTCTGCCATTTAAATCACTTTGTTTCTGCAATCCTAGTTACACCTCTCTGCATGTAACTCACAAAGTCTTCCTAAACAATTCCTGTATAGAGAGATCTAAGATTTACACTTCCTAGCTTGCACATTCTGTTTAGTTTATCATTTCTTATCTCCTGCTCTGTTAATAGCCTTCTAGATCCTACAGAAGCCTTCTTCTCTATGTGAATAAAGTTCAAATTACAGAGCAGGAGATACAAAGTTAAGTAAGATTGGAAATGAAACAATGTTTCATGCAGGTTGTGTCAGTCACAGCCAGGGGAGGTGAGGTTAGGGCTGTATGAACAGAAATAAAAGTGATATAAATCCTAAATGGCTAAAAATTGAGCAGTGACACTACAAATGCATGACCTATATACCAAAACTGCCTCATTAAGTGAGAGTTGTTTTGGTGACAATAGTGTCCCTTTATTAAAAAATGCAGCCTTGCTTCCTGTGAGTGAATAGTTTGTGCCTATTGATTATTTTGATTATTTTGATGTGGGAATAGATGGTGTAGACACCACAGCGGCCATATTGATAAATGAGAAAGAAACATCTGGTTAAATTACGATACTTACTCTCACGTGTTAGATTTTCCAAATTGTCCAAACTGCACTTACACTCTGATTTAATATTAAATAATATGGGATTTCATGATTTACTATAATGTTGACATATTCACCATATAAATCTATATTTTGAATATATAGCCATTTATCTGTTCAGATCTGGGAATTGGACTTTTGTCAAATTAATGTTTATATACTAAAGTGTTATTTCTGCCCAACGCATTTCATACAATTCTGGAACGTCTTATGTTAGAAATATTTTGTAGGAGGTTTAATCTAATCAAGACGTTCCTCACTGTGAAATCAATCCAATATCAGTATCATGTAACATTGTTCTTTGATTTCTGCAGGTGAATATATTTTTCTTAAATCGAGAAGCAGAACGAGCCATGGCTAAGGTTACAAGGAAAGATGGCGGCTCTGTAAATATACGCGGAAACATGCCGGAATCTTTATCTGATGAGACAATCACAGTGGATGTTACAGAAATCCTGCCACCACCTTCACCAATATATTTATATTACTTGGAAACCAATCATTTACCATTTGATGGACAAACCAATAGAAAAACTTTTATTCCCTCCAATATCATGTGTATGGCTTGCTACTTACCTGGAAATAGGGACAAAGAATGGTGTAAAGAGAATTGTTACCACTGAGTAACATAAATACAATAAGCACTTTGTTTTTAAAAGAAACTGTTACATAAAAATATCCTCTAATAAAATCCTTCATTAAAACCTATTTTCTGTCTATTGATGTTAACTCTGCCAGAAGATATTCTGCTTCCACAGAAGGTCTAATATGGTTTGTGATGTGCCACGTTCTTTCTGTAGCCTGTGTAGCCAAAAATCCTGGCGCCTGCCCTGTGTCTATGTTCTCATGTTACTTCTATTACATGTCTTTACTGCTTTTAAATTTTGTGACTAAGGATAATTTAATCCCCTTTTCATTTCAAATTAAGATTATGCACAAATATAATTATTTAAAGGGTTTCACTGAATTTATTCAGAATTATGTGACGGCATTTATCGGCCTGTCCCCATGATATGACTTTAAGATTAGACCCTGTATAATGTGTTAGCTATATTCATTTACCAATACATTGTGTGACGCGGTAGATGACCGCCAATTTAGAGAGTAAATTTAGTGTTTATTCCCTATAACGTTGCCTCCAGATTTCTCTGAATGTTTGCCCTGAACTGAGTTGTCACAGAATGTGGTTCTTTATAAAAACTGTATGTAATGGATCACCTGGCACACAGACTTGGTACCTCCGTTGAAGGATGCTCCTAGCGCTTCCTGAGGGTTTCCAGCACTCAAGCAGACACCATAACCGTATGGGGAGCAGTGTGTGTATGGGGGGGCAGTGTGTGTAAAGGGGGGCAGTGTGTGTATGGGGACACTGTTTGTGGGGCAGTGTGTGTATGTGTGGGGCAGTGTGTGTATGGGGACAGTGTTTGTAGGCAGTGTGTGTGTATGGGGGGCTGTGTTTGGGGGCAGTGTGTGTATGGGGGGGCAGTGTGTGTAAAGGGGGGCAGTGTGTGTATGGGGACACTGTTTGTGGGGCAGTGTGTATATGGGGGGCAGTGTGTGTATGGGGACAGTGTTTGTGGGGCAGTGTGTGTATGGGGACAGTGTTTGTAGGCAGTGTGTGTGTATGGGGGGCTGTGTGTGTGTATGGGGGGGCAGTGTGTGTGTAATGAGGGGGGAAGGAGGCTTTTTAATAATACATTTTTTTTTATTTAATAAAATAAATATTCTATGTCCCCCCTCCCTTCTTACCTTTATTTAGGAGGAGGGGGACATTTCCCTGGTGGGGGATTCATTGGTGGTCCAGTGGTGAGAGTGAACTCTAGCCCGCGCCCCCGGGCTAGAGTTCACTCGCGAGATTTGGAGCGTTGCCGTGGTAACCGCGGCAAAGCTCCAAATCTCGAGAGAGGAGGACCCGGAGGAGCTGCAGACTGAGCTCCCAGGTCCTCTCTCTCACTCCCTCCCTCCTAAGCTGTAGTGGTTATTGTGTCTGGATTATTTATTTAAATAATCTACAAGTGCACCTCCCGAGATCAGGCTCTGGATCCGCCACTGTCTCAGTCTGGCCCTGGTACTTTCCGAACAATTAAAAACAAGTTCTTCGACTGAGTCACTGGAAAACAAGAACAGATTAGGAAATATTTTGAGACACTGAATTAATAAGGGTGTCAATAAGATATTTTTAGCTCAATTCGATATATATTGCACAACGAAAGGAGCATTTTAACCACCAGGACATACCAGCTGGCTCACAGAGAGATACTGGCTGCCGCACGTTAGCCAAAGTAAGGAGACAGCAGACAGGTGAGATTAGAACGTTAGTTTGTAGTTATCATTTTATTGATTAATGACTCAAATAACGATTAGATTAACTTTTCAATTCTTATAACCTGTAGCCAATACAATTCTCACACACACACCCTGACTGTTCCTCAACATTAAAAAGTAAAATCCAGGTTAAATTTGGATAGAAATAACACTCCTATAACACCTGGCAGTAATGGTCGGGTGAAACTCGCATTGATTGTACATTGTTATTATTATTATTATTTATAATGTACATCTTTGCTCAATTGTTGTCATAGCATGAAGGCTTGAGCTATAAGAAGGAAAGTGGCCAGCTGGCAAATATATAGGGAATAGTTTACAAATAGTGTGTACTCTAGACTGAATTAGGGAGCAGACTAGCCACCTCCAGGAGTGTGTGTATCGAGTGATCATCTTTTTAGCACAAAGACTCTGGCTACACAAAGAAAGCTGGCTGGCTGGCAAATAGATAAGGAATAGCTAACTATCGGTGTTCATTTCAGACCTAATCAGGGAGCAGCTTAGCCACATCCTGACTGTGTATAGTTATTGTGGATTATTATCTAAACATTTATATTTTTAATAAATAGGGAAGAGTGGAACTGGAAGTGTCTTAAAGACCAATCAGGGGCCAGCACAGCCACCCCACACATTGTTCACTGACAGAATGGATTTTTGTTGGTTTAGATTTTACCACCAAACTTGATTTCTCTTGAGGTGTAAGGGAGATCTCTAATAATAACTCCAGTTAGTGTAAACGAAGCTATTGATGGAAGCTTTTTTAGGACTTGCAAGGATTCTATGTTCTGCAGGTTGAATTTCTTTCTATATGCAGTATGTATATATTGAGATTGTTGACACTTCCAGGGAATACAAATTGTAATTGTTGCCATAAGCAGATTGGACGGAATTGTTAATATCTGTTTCGTTGCAGCTAAAATATATGTTGCAAATGGTGTTTCCACTATTGCAACACTGAACGAGAACTCATTCACGAGAAGTTACGTTTTATTTCCCCACAGTTAAATAATCTATCTAACGGGAGAGTTAACACCCCTCGGTTTGTGTTGTGGACCACGAAACCACAACTGGTTAGGGAAACGGAAGGGGTTGGGTTTCTTATTGCTAAAAATAAAGAATTGATTGTTGTTGAGATGTTTGTGCTGCGATAACGAAACGTAATACAGAGACATCATTTTTACTGAATTATGGCTCAGTGCAAGAGTAGCTAAAAAACTAATTCTGCATAATTCTAGTTAGTGATCACAGTTATTTAACCCCTTAAGGACCAAACTTCTGGAATAAAAGGGAATAATGACATGTCACACGTCATGTGTTCGTAAGGGGTTAATGGTGGAGTTTACTCTGTATTTATTCGGTTACTGGGAGTGCTGAGTATAAGGGTTAATCTGTATTCATTCTGTAACTAGGAGTGCTGAATGAAAGGGTTAATCTGTATCCTCTCTGTTATTGAGAGTGCAGAGTGAAAAGGTTAATCTGTAGAGTCTCACTGCTCAATTCTCTGCCATTTAAATCACTTTGTTTCTGCAATCCTAGTTACACCTCTCTGCATGTAACTCACAAAGTCTTCCTAAACAATTCCTGTATAGAGAGATCTAAGATTTACACTTCCTAGCTTGCACATTCTGTTTAGTTTATCATTTCTTATCTCCTGCTCTGTTAATAGCCTTCTAGATCCTACAGAAGCCTTCTTCTCTATGTGAATAAAGTTCAAATTACAGAGCAGGAGATACAAAGTTAAGTAAGATTGGAAATGAAACAATGTTTCATGCAGGTTGTGTCAGTCACAGCCAGGGGAGGTGAGGTTAGGGCTGTATGAACAGAAATAAAAGTGATATAAATCCTAAATGGCTAAAAATTGAGCAGTGACACTACAAATGCATGACCTATATACCAAAACTGCCTCATTAAGTGAGAGTTGTTTTGGTGACAATAGTGTCCCTTTATTAAAAAATGCAGCCTTGCTTCCTGTGAGTGAATAGTTTGTGCCTATTGATTATTTTGATTATTTTGATGTGGGAATAGATGGTGTAGACACCACAGCGGCCATATTGATAAATGAGAAAGAAACATCTGGTTAAATTACGATACTTACTCTCACGTGTTAGATTTTCCAAATTGTCCAAACTGCACTTACACTCTGATTTAATATTAAATAATATGGGATTTCATGATTTACTATAATGTTGACATATTCACCATATAAATCTATATTTTGAATATATAGCCATTTATCTGTTCAGATCTGGGAATTGGACTTTTGTCAAATTAATGTTTATATACTAAAGTGTTATTTCTGCCCAACGCATTTCATACAATTCTGGAACGTCTTATGTTAGAAATATTTTGTAGGAGGTTTAATCTAATCAAGACGTTCCTCACTGTGAAATCAATCCAATATCAGTATCATGTAACATTGTTCTTTGATTTCTGCAGGTGAATATATTTTTCTTAAATCGAGAAGCAGAACGAGCCATGGCTAAGGTTACAAGGAAAGATGGCGGCTCTGTAAATATACGCGGAAACATGCCGGAATCTTTATCTGATGAGACAATCACAGTGGATGTTACAGAAATCCTGCCACCACCTTCACCAATATATTTATATTACTTGGAAACCAATCATTTACCATTTGATGGACAAACCAATAGAAAAACTTTTATTCCCTCCAATATCATGTGTATGGCTTGCTACTTACCTGGAAATAGGGACAAAGAATGGTGTAAAGAGAATTGTTACCACTGAGTAACATAAATACAATAAGCACTTTGTTTTTAAAAGAAACTGTTACATAAAAATATCCTCTAATAAAATCCTTCATTAAAACCTATTTTCTGTCTATTGATGTTAACTCTGCCAGAAGATATTGTGCTTCCACAGAAGGTCTAATATGGTTTGTGATGTGCCACGTTCTTTCTGTAGCCTGTGTAGCCAAAAATCCTGGCGCCTGCCCTGTGTCTACGTTCTCATGTTACTTCTATTACATGTCTTTACTGCTTTTAAATTTTGTGACTAAGGATAATTTAATCCCCTTTTCATTTCAAATTAAGATTATGCACAAATATAATTATTTAAAGGGTTTCACTGAATTTATTCAGAATTATGTGACGGCATTTATCGGCCTGTCCCCATGATATGACTTTAAGATTAGACCCTGTATAATGTGTTAGCTATATTCATTTACCAATACATTGTGTGACGCGGTAGATGACCGCCAATTTAGAGAGTAAATTTAGTGTTTATTCCCTATAACGTTGCCTCCAGATTTCTCTGAATGTTTGCCCTGAACTGAGTTGTCACAGAATGTGGTTCTTTATAAAAACTGTATGTAATGGATCACCTGGCACACAGACTTGGTACCTCCGTTGAAGGATGCTCCTAGCGCTTCCTGAGGGTTTCCAGCACTCAAGCAGACACCATAACCGTATGGGGACCAGTGTGTGTATGGGGGGGCAGTGTGTGTAAAGGGGGGCAGTGTGTGTATGGGGACACTGTTTGTGGGGCAGTGTGTGTATGGGGGGCAGTGTATGGGGACAGTGTTTGTGGGGCAGTGTGTGTATGGGGACAGTGTTTGTAGGCAGTGTGTGTGTATGGGGGGCTGTGTTTGGGGGCAGTGTGTGTATGGGGGGGCAGTGTGTGTAAAGGGGGGCAGTGTGTGTATGGGGACACTGTTTGTGGGGCAGTGTGTATATGGGGGGCAGTGTGTGTATGGGGACAGTGTTTGTGGGGCAGTGTGTGTATGGGGACAGTGTTTGTAGGCAGTGTGTGTGTATGGGGGGCTGTGTGTGTGTATGGGGGGGGCAGTGTGTGTGTAATGAGGGGGGAAGGAGGCTTTTTAATAATACATTTTTTTTTATTTAATAAAATAAATATTCTATGTCCCCCCTCCCTTCTTACCTTTATTTAGGAGGAGGGGGACATTTCCCTGGTGGGGGATTCATTGGTGGTCCAGTGGTGAGAGTGAACTCTAGCCCGCGCCCCCGGGCTAGAGTTCACTCGCGAGATTTGGAGCGTTGCCGTGGTAACCGCGGCAAAGCTCCAAATCTCGAGAGAGGAGGACCCGGAGGAGCTGCAGACTGAGCTCCCAGGTCCTCTCTCTCACTCCCTCCCTCCTAAGCTGTAGTGGTTATTGTGTCTGGATTATTTATTTAAATAATCTACAAGTGCACCTCCCGAGATCAGGCTCTGGATCCGCCACTGTCTCAGTCTGGCCCTGGTACTTTCCGAACAATTAAAAACAAGTTCTTCGACTGAGTCACTGGAAAACAAGAACAGATTAGGAAATATGTTGAGACACTGAATTAATAAGGGTGTCAATAAGATATTTTTAGCTCAATTCGATATATATTGCACAACGAAAGGAGCATTTTAACCACCAGGACATACCAGCTGGCTCACAGAGAGATACTGGCTGCCGCACGTTAGCCAAAGTAAGGAGACAGCAGACAGGTGAGATTAGAACGTTAGTTTGTAGTTATCATTTTATTGATTAATGACTCAAATAACGATTAGATTAACTTTTCAATTCTTATAACCTGTAGCCAATACAATTCTCACACACACACCCTGACTGTTCCTCAACATTAAAAAGTAAAATCCAGGTTAAATTTGGATAGAAATAACACTCCTATAACACCTGGCAGTAATGGTCGGGTGAAACTCGCATTGATTGTACATTGTTATTATTATTATTATTTATAATGTACATCTTTGCTCAATTGTTGTCATAGCATGAAGGCTTGAGCTATAAGAAGGAAAGTGGCCAGCTGGCAAATATATAGGGAATAGTTTACAAATAGTGTGTACTCTAGACTGAATTAGGGAGCAGACTAGCCACCTCCAGGAGTGTGCGTATCGAGTGATCATCTTTTTAGCACAAAGACTCTGGCTACACAAAGAAAGCTGGCTGGCTGGCAAATAGATAAGGAATAGCTAACTATCGGTGTTCATTTCAGACCTAATCAGGGAGCAGCTTAGCCACATCCTGACTGTGTATAGTTATTGTGGATTATTATCCAAACATTTATATTTTTAATAAATAGGGAAGAGTGGAACTGGAAGTGTCTTAAAGACCAATCAGGGGCCAGCACAGCCACCCCACACATTGTTCACTGACAGAATGGATTTTTGTTGGTTTAGATTTTACCACCAAACTTGATTTCTCTTGAGGTGTAAGGGAGATCTCTAATAATAACTCCAGTTAGTGTAAACGAAGCTATTGATGGAAGCTTTTTTAGGACTTGCAAGGATTCTATGTTCTGCAGGTTGAATTTCTTTCTATATGCAGTATGTATATATTGAGATTGTTGACACTTCCAGGGAATACAAATTGTAATTGTTGCCATAAGCAGATTGGACGGAATTGTTAATATCTGTTTCGTTGCAGCTAAAATATATGTTGCAAATGGTGTTTCCACTATTGCAACACTGAACGAGAACTCATTCACGAGAAGTTACGTTTTATTTCCCCACAGTTAAATAATCTATCTAACGGGAGAGTTAACACCCCTCGGTTTGTGTTGTGGACCACGAAACCACAACTGGTTAGGGAAACGGAAGGGGTTGGGTTTCTTATTGCTAAAAATAAAGAATTGATTGTTGTTGAGATGTTTGTGCTGCGATAACGAAACGTAATACAGAGACATCATTTTTACTGAATTATGGCTCAGTGCAAGAGTAGCTAAAAAACTAATTCTGCATAATTCTAGTTAGTGATCACAGTTATTTAACCCCTTAAGGACCAAACTTCTGGAATAAAAGGGAATAATGACATGTCACACGTCATGTGTTCGTAAGGGGTTAATGGTGGAGTTTACTCTGTATTTATTCGGTTACTGGGAGTGCTGAGTATAAGGGTTAATCTGTATTCATTCTGTAACTAGGAGTGCTGAATGAAAGGGTTAATCTGTATCCTCTCTGTTATTGAGAGCGCAGAGTGAAAAGGTTAATCTGTAGAGTCTCACTGCTCAATTCTCTGCCATTTAAATCACTTTGTTTCTGCAATCCTAGTTACACCTCTCTGCATGTAACTCACAAAGTCTTCCTAAACAATTCCTGTATAGAGAGATCTAAGATTTACACTTCCTAGCTTGCACATTCTGTTTAGTTTATCATTTCTTATCTCCTGCTCTGTTAATAGCCTTCTAGATCCTACAGAAGCCTTCTTCTCTATGTGAATAAAGTTCAAATTACAGAGCAGGAGATACAAAGTTAAGTAAGATTGGAAATGAAACAATGTTTCATGCAGGTTGTGTCAGTCACAGCCAGGGGAGGTGAGGTTAGGGCTGTATGAACAGAAATAAAAGTGATATAAATCCTAAATGGCTAAAAATTGAGCAGTGACACTACAAATGCATGACCTATATACCAAAACTGCCTCATTAAGTGAGAGTTGTTTTGGTGACAATAGTGTCCCTTTATTAAAAAATGCAGCCTTGCTTCCTGTGAGTGAATAGTTTGTGCCTATTGATTATTTTGATTATTTTGATGTGGGAATAGATGGTGTAGACACCACAGCGGCCATATTGATAAATGAGAAAGAAACATCTGGTTAAATTACGATACTTACTCTCACGTGTTAGATTTTCCAAATTGTCCAAACTGCACTTACACTCTGATTTAATATTAAATAATATGGGATTTCATGATTTACTATAATGTTGACATATTCACCATATAAATCTATATTTTGAATATATAGCCATTTATCTGTTCAGATCTGGGAATTGGACTTTTGTCAAATTAATGTTTATATACTAAAGTGTTATTTCTGCCCAACGCATTTCATACAATTCTGGAACGTCTTATGTTAGAAATATTTTGTAGGAGGTTTAATCTAATCAAGACGTTCCTCACTGTGAAATCAATCCAATATCAGTATCATGTAACATTGTTCTTTGATTTCTGCAGGTGAATATATTTTTCTTAAATCGAGAAGCAGAACGAGCCATGGCTAAGGTTACAAGGAAAGATGGCGGCTCTGTAAATATACGCGGAAACATGCCGGAATCTTTATCTGATGAGACAATCACAGTGGATGTTACAGAAATCCTGCCACCACCTTCACCAATATATTTATATTACTTGGAAACCAATCATTTACCATTTGATGGACAAACCAATAGAAAAACTTTTATTCCCTCCAATATCATGTGTATGGCTTGCTACTTACCTGGAAATGGGGACAAAGAATGGTGTAAAGAGAATTGTTACCACTGAGTAACATAAATACAATAAGCACTTTGTTTTTAAAAGAAACTGTTATGTAAAAATATCCTCTAATAAAATCCTTCATTAAAACCTATTTTCTGTCTATTGATGTTAACTCTGCCAGAAGATATTCTGCTTCCACAGAAGGTCTAATATGGTTTGTGATGTGCCACGTTCTTTCTGTAGCCTGTGTAGCCAAAAATCCTCGCGCCTGCCCTGTGTCTACGTTCTCATGTTACTTCTATTACATGTCTTTACTGCTTTTACATTTTGGGATTAAGGATAATTTAATCCCCTTTTCATTTCAAATTAAGATTATGCACAAATATAATTATTTAAAGGGTTTCACTGAATTTATTCAGAATTATGTGACGGCATTTATCGGCCTGTCCCCATGATATGACTTTAAGATTAGACCCTGTATAATGTGTTAGCTATATTCATTTACCAATACATTGTGTGACGCGGTAGATGACCGCCAATTCAGAGAGTAAATTTACTGTTTATTCCCTATAACGTTGCCTCCAGATTGCTCTGAATGTTTGCCCTGAACTGAGTTGTCACAGAATGTGGTTCTTTATAAAAACTGTATGTAACGGATCACCTGGCACACAGACTGGGTACCTCCGTTGAAGGATGCTCCTAGCGCTTCCTGAGGGTTTCCAGCATTCAAGCAGACACCATAACCGTATGGGGAGCAGTGTGTGTATGGGGGGGCAGTGTGTGTAAAGGGGGGCAGTGTGTGTATGGGGACACTGTTTGTGGGGCAGTGTGTGTATGGGGGGCAGTGTGTGTATGGGGACAGTGTTTGTGGGGCAGTGTGTGTATGGGGACAGTGTTTGTAGGCAGTGTGTGTGTATGGGGGGCTGTGTTTGGGGGCAGTGTGTGTATGGGGGGGCAGTGTGTGTAAAGGGGGGCAGTGTGTGTATGGGGACACTGTTTGTGGGGCAGTGTGTATATGGGGGGCAGTGTGTGTATGGGGACAGTGTTTGTGGGGCAGTGTGTGTATGGGGACAGTGTTTGTAGGCAGTGTGTGTGTATGGGGGGCTGTGTGTGTGTATGGGGGGGCAGTGTGTGTGTAATGAGGGGGGAAGGAGGCTTTTTAATAATACATTTTTTTTTATTTAATAAAATAAATATTCTATGTCCCCCCTCCCTTCTTACCTTTATTTAGGAGGAGGGGGACATTTCCCTGGTGGGGGATTCATTGGTGGTCCAGTGGTGAGAGTGAACTCTAGCCCGCGCCCCCGGGCTAGAGTTCACTCGCGAGATTTGGAGCGTTGCCATGGTAACCGCGGCAAAGCTCCAAATCTCGAGAGAGGAGGACCCGGAGGAGCTGCAGACTGAGCTCCCAGGTCCTCTCTCTCACTCCCTCCCTCCTAAGCTGTAGTGGTTATTGTGTCTGGATTATTTATTTAAATAATCTACAAGTGCACCTCCCGAGATCAGGCTCTGGATCCGCCACTGTCTCAGTCTGGCCCTGGTACTTTCCGAACAATTAAAAACAAGTTCTTCGACTGAGTCACTGGAAAACAAGAACAGATTAGGAAATATTTTGAGACACTGTATTAATAAGGGTGTCAATAAGATATTTTTAGCTCAATTCGATATATATTGCACAACGAAAGGAGCATTTTAACCACCAGGACATACCAGCTGGCTCACAGAGAGATACTGGCTGCCGCACGTTAGCCAAAGTAAGGAGACAGCAGACAGGTGAGATTAGAACGTTAGTTTGTATTTATCATTTTATTGATTAATGACTCAAATAACGATTAGATTAACTTTTCAATTCTTATAACCTGTAGCCAATACAATTCTCACACACACACCCTGACTGTTCCTCAACATTAAAAAGTAAAATCCAGGTTAAATTTGGATAGAAATAACACTCCTATAACACCTGGCAGTAATGGTCGGGTGAAACTCGCATTGATTGTACATTGTTATTATTATTATTATTTATAATGTACATCTTTGCTCAATTGTTGTCATAGCATGAAGGCTTGAGCTATAAGAAGGAAAGTGGCCAGCTGGCAAATATATAGGGAATAGTTTACAAATAGTGTGTACTCTAGACTGAATTAGGGAGCAGACTAGCCACCTCCAGGAGTGTGCGTATCGAGTGATCATCTTTTTAGCACAAAGACTCTGGCTACACAAAGAAAGCTGGCTGGCTGGCAAATAGATAAGGAATAGCTAACTATCGGTGTTCATTTCAGACCTAATCAGGGAGCAGCTTAGCCACATCCTGACTGTGTATAGTTATTGTGGATTATTATCCAAACATTTATATTTTTAATAAATAGGGAAGAGTGGAACTGGAAGTGTCTTAAAGACCAATCAGGGGCCAGCACAGCCACCCCACACATTGTTCACTGACAGAATGGATTTTTGTTGGTTTAGATTTTACCACCAAACTTGATTTCTCTTGAGGTGTAAGGGAGATCTCTAATAATAACTCCAGTTAGTGTAAACGAAGCTATTGATGGAAGCTTTTTTAGGACTTGCAAGGATTCTATGTTCTGCAGGTTGAATTTCTTTCTATATGCAGTATGTATATATTGAGATTGTTGACACTTCCAGGGAATACAAATTGTAATTGTTGCCATAAGCAGATTGGACGGAATTGTTAATATCTGTTTCGTTGCAGCTAAAATATATGTTGCAAATGGTGTTTCCACTATTGCAACACTGAACGAGAACTCATTCACGAGAAGTTACGTTTTATTTCCCCACAGTTAAATAATCTATCTAACGGGAGAGTTAACACCCCTCGGTTTGTGTTGTGGACCACGAAACCACAACTGGTTAGGGAAACGGAAGGGGTTGGGTTTCTTATTGCTAAAAATAAAGAATTGATTGTTGTTGAGATGTTTGTGCTGCGATAACGAAACGTAATACAGAGACATCATTTTTACTGAATTATGGCTCAGTGCAAGAGTAGCTAAAAAACTAATTCTGCATAATTCTAGTTAGTGATCACAGTTATTTAACCCCTTAAGGACCAAACTTCTGGAATAAAAGGGAATAATGACATGTCACACGTCATGTGTTCGTAAGGGGTTAATGGTGGAGTTTACTCTGTATTTATTCGGTTACTGGGAGTGCTGAGTATAAGGGTTAATCTGTATTCATTCTGTAACTAGGAGTGCTGAATGAAAGGGTTAATCTGTATCCTCTCTGTTATTGAGAGCGCAGAGTGAAAAGGTTAATCTGTAGAGTCTCACTGCTCAATTCTCTGCCATTTAAATCACTTTGTTTCTGCAATCCTAGTTACACCTCTCTGCATGTAACTCACAAAGTCTTCCTAAACAATTCCTGTATAGAGAGATCTAAGATTTACACTTCCTAGCTTGCACATTCTGTTTAGTTTATCATTTCTTATCTCCTGCTCTGTTAATAGCCTTCTAGATCCTACAGAAGCCTTCTTCTCTATGTGAATAAAGTTCAAATTACAGAGCAGGAGATACAAAGTTAAGTAAGATTGGAAATGAAACAATGTTTCATGCAGGTTGTGTCAGTCACAGCCAGGGGAGGTGAGGTTAGGGCTGTATGAACAGAAATAAAAGTGATATAAATCCTAAATGGCTAAAAATTGAGCAGTGACACTACAAATGCATGACCTATATACCAAAACTGCCTCATTAAGTGAGAGTTGTTTTGGTGACAATAGTGTCCCTTTATTAAAAAATGCAGCCTTGCTTCCTGTGAGTGAATAGTTTGTGCCTATTGATTATTTTGATTATTTTGATGTGGGAATAGATGGTGTAGACACCACAGCGGCCATATTGATAAATGAGAAAGAAACATCTGGTTAAATTACGATACTTACTCTCACGTGTTAGATTTTCCAAATTGTCCAAACTGCACTTACACTCTGATTTAATATTAAATAATATGGGATTTCATGATTTACTATAATGTTGACATATTCACCATATAAATCTATATTTTGAATATATAGCCATTTATCTGTTCAGATCTGGGAATTGGACTTTTGTCAAATTAATGTTTATATACTAAAGTGTTATTTCTGCCCAACGCATTTCATACAATTCTGGAACGTCTTATGTTAGAAATATTTTGTAGGAGGTTTAATCTAATCAAGACGTTCCTCACTGTGAAATCAATCCAATATCAGTATCATGTAACATTGTTCTTTGATTTCTGCAGGTGAATATATTTTTCTTAAATCGAGAAGCAGAACGAGCCATGGCTAAGGTTACAAGGAAAGATGGCGGCTCTGTAAATATACGCGGAAACATGCCGGAATCTTTATCTGATGAGACAATCACAGTGGATGTTACAGAAATCCTGCCACCACCTTCACCAATATATTTATATTACTTGGAAACCAATCATTTACCATTTGATGGACAAACCAATAGAAAAACTTTTATTCCCTCCAATATCATGTGTATGGCTTGCTACTTACCTGGAAATAGGGACAAAGAATGGTGTAAAGAGAATTGTTACCACTGAGTAACATAAATACAATAAGCACTTTGTTTTTAAAAGAAACTGTTACATAAAAATATCCTCTAATAAAATCCTTCATTAAAACCTATTTTCTGTCTATTGATGTTAACTCTGCCAGAAGATATTGTGCTTCCACAGAAGGTCTAATATGGTTTGTGATGTGCCACGTTCTTTCTGTAGCCTGTGTAGCCAAAAATCCTGGCGCCTGCCCTGTGTCTACGTTCTCATGTTACTTCTATTACATGTCTTTACTGCTTTTAAATTTTGTGACTAAGGATAATTTAATCCCCTTTTCATTTCAAATTAAGATTATGCACAAATATAATTATTTAAAGGGTTTCACTGAATTTATTCAGAATTATGTGACGGCATTTATCGGCCTGTCCCCATGATATGACTTTAAGATTAGACCCTGTATAATGTGTTAGCTATATTCATTTACCAATACATTGTGTGACGCGGTAGATGACCGCCAATTCAGAGAGTAAATTTACTGTTTATTCCCTATAACGTTGCCTCCAGATTTCTCTGAATGTTTGCCCTGAACTGAGTTGTCACAGAATGTGGTTCTTTATAAAAACTGTATGTAATGGATCACCTGGCACACAGACTTGGTACCTCCGTTGAAGGATGGTCCTAGCGCTTCCTGAGGGTTTCCAGCACTCAAGCAGACACCATAACCGTATGGGGAGCAGTGTGTGTATGGGGGGGCAGTGTGTGTAAAGGGGGGCAGTGTGTGTATGGGGACACTGTTTGTGGGGCAGTGTGTGTATGGGGGGCAGTGTGTGTATGGGGACAGTGTTTGTGGGGCAGTGTGTGTATGGGGACAGTGTTTGTAGGCAGTGTGTGTGTATGGGGGGCTGTGTTTGGGGGCAGTGTGTGTATGGGGGGGCAGTGTGTGTAAAGGGGGGCAGTGTGTGTATGGGGACACTGTTTGTGGGGCAGTGTGTATATGGGGGGCAGTGTGTGTATGGGGACAGTGTTTGTGGGGCAGTGTGTGTATGGGGACAGTGTTTGTAGGCAGTGTGTGTGTATGGGGGGCTGTGTGTGTGTATGGGGGGGGCAGTGTGTGTGTAATGAGGGGGGAAGGAGGCTTTTTAATAATACATTTTTTTTTATTTAATAAAATAAATATTCTATGTCCCCCCTCCCTTCTTACCTTTATTTAGGAGGAGGGGGACATTTCCCTGGTGGGGGATTCATTGGTGGTCCAGTGGTGAGAGTGAACTCTAGCCCGCGCCCCCGGGCTAGAGTTCACTCGCGAGATTTGGAGCGTTGCCGTGGTAACCGCGGCAAAGCTCCAAATCTCGAGAGAGGAGGACCCGGAGGAGCTGCAGATTGAGCTCCCAGGTCCTCTCTCTCACTCCCTCCCTCCTAAACTGTAGTGGTTATTGTGTCTGGATTATTTATTTAAATAATCTACAAGTGCCCCTCCCGAGATCAGGCTCTGGATCCGCCACTGTCTCAGTCTGGCCCTGGTACTTTCCGAACAATTAAAAACAAGTTCTTCGACTGAGTCACTGGAAAACAAGAACAGATTAGGAAATATTTTGAGACACTGAATTAATAAGGGTGTCAATAAGATATTTTTAGCTCAATTCGATATATATTGCACAACGAAAGGAGCATTTTAACCACCAGGACATACCAGCTGGCTCACAGAGAGATACTGGCTGCCGCACGTTAGCCAAAGTAAGGAGACAGCAGACAGGTGAGATTAGAACGTTAGTTTGTAGTTATCATTTTATTGATTAATGACTCAAATAACGATTAGATTAACTTTTCAATTCTTATAACCTGTAGCCAATACAATTCTCACACACACACCCTGACTGTTCCTCAACATTAAAAAGTAAAATCCAGGTTAAATTTGGATAGAAATAACACTCCTATAACACCTGGCAGTAATGGTCGGGTGAAACTCGCATTGATTGTACATTGTTATTATTATTATTATTTATAATGTACATCTTTGCTCAATTGTTGTCATAGCATGAAGGCTTGAGCTATAAGAAGGAAAGTGGCCAGCTGGCAAATATATAGGGAATAGTTTACAAATAGTGTGTACTCTAGACTGAATTAGGGAGCAGACTAGCCACCTCCAGGAGTGTGCGTATCGAGTGATCATCTTTTTAGCACAAAGACTCTGGCTACACAAAGAAAGCTGGCTGGCTGGCAAATAGATAAGGAATAGCTAACTATCGGTGTTCATTTCAGACCTAATCAGGGAGCAGCTTAGCCACATCCTGACTGTGTATAGTTATTGTGGATTATTATCCAAACATTTATATTTTTAATAAATAGGGAAGAGTGGAACTGGAAGTGTCTTAAAGACCAATCAGGGGCCAGCACAGCCACCCCACACATTGTTCACTGACAGAATGGATTTTTGTTGGTTTAGATTTTACCACCAAACTTGATTTCTCTTGAGGTGTAAGGGAGATCTCTAATAATAACTCCAGTTAGTGTAAACGAAGCTATTGATGGAAGCTTTTTTAGGACTTGCAAGGATTCTATGTTCTGCAGGTTGAATTTCTTTCTATATGCAGTATGTATATATTGAGATTGTTGACACTTCCAGGGAATACAAATTGTAATTGTTGCCATAAGCAGATTGGACGGAATTGTTAATATCTGTTTCGTTGCAGCTAAAATATATGTTGCAAATGGTGTTTCCACTATTGCAACACTGAACGAGAACTCATTCACGAGAAGTTACGTTTTATTTCCCCACAGTTAAATAATCTATCTAACGGGAGAGTTAACACCCCTCGGTTTGTGTTGTGGACCACGAAACCACAACTGGTTAGGGAAACGGAAGGGGTTGGGTTTCTTATTGCTAAAAATAAAGAATTGATTGTTGTTGAGATGTTTGTGCTGCGATAACGAAACGTAATACAGAGACATCATTTTTACTGAATTATGGCTCAGTGCAAGAGTAGCTAAAAAACTAATTCTGCATAATTCTAGTTAGTGATCACAGTTATTTAACCCCTTAAGGACCAAACTTCTGGAATAAAAGGGAATAATGACATGTCACACGTCATGTGTTCGTAAGGGGTTAATGGTGGAGTTTACTCTGTATTTATTCGGTTACTGGGAGTGCTGAGTATAAGGGTTAATCTGTATTCATTCTGTAACTAGGAGTGCTGAATGAAAGGGTTAATCTGTATCCTCTCTGTTATTGAGAGCGCAGAGTGAAAAGGTTAATCTGTAGAGTCTCACTGCTCAATTCTCTGCCATTTAAATCACTTTGTTTCTGCAATCCTAGTTACACCTCTCTGCATGTAACTCACAAAGTCTTCCTAAACAATTCCTGTATAGAGAGATCTAAGATTTACACTTCCTAGCTTGCACATTCTGTTTAGTTTATCATTTCTTATCTCCTGCTCTGTTAATAGCCTTCTAGATCCTACAGAAGCCTTCTTCTCTATGTGAATAAAGTTCAAATTACAGAGCAGGAGATACAAAGTTAAGTAAGATTGGAAATGAAACAATGTTTCATGCAGGTTGTGTCAGTCACAGCCAGGGGAGGTGAGGTTAGGGCTGTATGAACAGAAATAAAAGTGATATAAATCCTAAATGGCTAAAAATTGAGCAGTGACACTACAAATGCATGACCTATATACCAAAACTGCCTCATTAAGTGAGAGTTGTTTTGGTGACAATAGTGTCCCTTTATTAAAAAATGCAGCCTTGCTTCCTGTGAGTGAATAGTTTGTGCCTATTGATTATTTTGATTATTTTGATGTGGGAATAGATGGTGTAGACACCACAGCGGCCATATTGATAAATGAGAAAGAAACATCTGGTTAAATTACGATACTTACTCTCACGTGTTAGATTTTCCAAATTGTCCAAACTGCACTTACACTCTGATTTAATATTAAATAATATGGGATTTCATGATTTACTATAATGTTGACATATTCACCATATAAATCTATATTTTGAATATATAGCCATTTATCTGTTCAGATCTGGGAATTGGACTTTTGTCAAATTAATGTTTATATACTAAAGTGTTATTTCTGCCCAACGCATTTCATACAATTCTGGAACGTCTTATGTTAGAAATATTTTGTAGGAGGTTTAATCTAATCAAGACGTTCCTCACTGTGAAATCAATCCAATATCAGTATCATGTAACATTGTTCTTTGATTTCTGCAGGTGAATATATTTTTCTTAAATCGAGAAGCAGAACGAGCCATGGCTAAGGTTACAAGGAAAGATGGCGGCTCTGTAAATATACGCGGAAACATGCCGGAATCTTTATCTGATGAGACAATCACAGTGGATGTTACAGAAATCCTGCCACCACCTTCACCAATATATTTATATTACTTGGAAACCAATCATTTACCATTTGATGGACAAACCAATAGAAAAACTTTTATTCCCTCCAATATCATGTGTATGGCTTGCTACTTACCTGGAAATAGGGACAAAGAATGGTGTAAAGAGAATTGTTACCACTGAGTAACATAAATACAATAAGCACTTTGTTTTTAAAAGAAACTGTTACATAAAAATATCCTCTAATAAAATCCTTCATTAAAACCTATTTTCTGTCTATTGATGTTAACTCTGCCAGAAGATATTCTGCTTCCACAGAAGGTCTAATATGGTTTGTGATGTGCCACGTTATTTCTGTAGCCTGTGTAGCCAAAAATCCTGGCGCCTGCCCTGTGTCTACGTTCTCATGTTACTTCTATTACATGTCTTTACTGCTTTTAAATTTTGGGACTAAGGATAATTTAATCCCCTTTTCATTTCAAATTAAGATTATGCACAAATAGAATTATTTAAAGGGTTTCACTGAATTTATTCAGAATTATGTGACGGCATTAATCGGCCTGTCCCCATGATATGACTTTAAGATTAGACCCTGTATAATGTGTTAGCTATATTCATTTATCAATACATTGTGTGACGCGGTAGATGACCGCCAATTCAGAGTGATTCCAATCAATTACAAGTAAAGTTTAGTAAATTTACTGTTTATTCCCTATAACGTTGCCTCCAGATTGCTCTGAATGTTTGCTGTGAACTGAGTTGTCACAGAATGCGGTTCTTTATAAAAACTGTACGTTGGAGAAATTCTGCAAAGATGTAACTAAGAATAGTTCAGTTAGTCGCCCTCTCTTTTTCTTTTAAGATGGAGTGAATAGTATCTCTTGAAATTCTCTCTATATATACATATATTTATTTTAGAATTATTTAATGAATTCTGTTTATATTTTTATTATTATTATATATTTACCCCTTTTTTCCCTGTTTGTATAACTATTTTTTATTTGATGTGACGACAGCGTATGGACAGCATGATGGCCCCAGCCCTTCACTGAAGATTGAGTAGAGCCAGTTCTGGCAGGAAATGATATCATGGGAAAATAGGGATTAGTTGGGGTTAATCGCAAGGAATTCTTTTTTTCATGGTGAGACGACATTGTGAAATAAAGGACTTTGTGAAATCAGAGTTGGCAAGGTCTAATGGCACACTTTGAATTGTTTGTTTAGTTTTAAAATGAACGAGTCCTGCCCGAAATTCACTGTAAATAGTACGTATCAGGTATTCTTTAAGGAAATCACTAACTAATAAGCCTCATATAAACCGTTCCAGAGATAGATTAGTCCTCACACTGTACATGACCAGCAGTCGGGCGCCAGTAAGAATGGAGGCATTTCAGATTCTGGCCGTGTTACTCACTCTCTGTATGTCTACATTTGCTGCTCCCCTCACTCCAGACTAGCAGAACATTCCAGGATACACAGACTCTCCGGAGAAAGATCTAGAGTTAAATTTATCTACTGAGCAGGTAAGTTACACATCACTGATTTTAGCAGATTAGAATATCATGGAGGTGCCTCACCATCACCCAGAGATAGGTAAGAGGGTAAGCTCTGTGGGTGAGCTGGCGGGCAGGTAGACAAGTTGACGGATGTGGGTGGGTCTGTGGACAGACGGACAGGAGCTGCTAACCCTTCCCCAAAATGTCAACACAGTATAAGAGTTGGGTCAATCTAAAAAGATATAAACACATTCAATGAAAAAAGTAAACTATTCTTAAAATAAAACATTCTGAATTTACATTCCCGATTTATTCCACATTAACCTGTGTTGTCTTCACTAAATTCACCGAGCAGATCAGAATCCATGTAACATTATCACACCCATTTAAAGGGACACTGAGCGCAAAAAATTATATTTCTCAATTTAGAAACTTTTTGTTTTTTAGAAGCTTTGTCAGCCTCCTATGACTGACAATGTAAATATTATCCTTTTATTTAAAACATCCCCTCTGCTTTCTGTTAGACAAATGATCGTTACAGGCATTTCATCCTTAAAGGTTTACTCCAAGTACCATAACCACTGCAGTGATTTGAAGTGGTCATGGTGCCTGGAGTCTTTATGTGCATTTGCTTTAACCCCTTAAGGACCAAACTTCTGGAATAAAAGGGAATCACGACATGTCACACATGTCATGTGTCCTTAAGGGGTTATAACACTGTACATACAGGATTTAACCTCCTTGACTCCACCCCCATAACAGCATAGCCAACCCAGAACAAGAGTTCCAGCCTGACTAAAATTAATTAGGTGCATATTCACAGAACTTCATTCATTGCTGACATTCTCATCCAATAAATGGCCAGCGAGATCAACTCTGCTGGCCATTCACTGGCTGCTAGAGAACCCTCGTGGTCTGGTGGGTACCCAGGTAAAAGGGCAATAAAGCTTGTTTTAAAGCGGCACTGTCATGCCGAATTCTGTTTTTTTTTTAACCCCTCTCCCGCCTCCACTACATCCAATTGACCCACTAGTCACCCCCAAATGCCCCTAAGCCCCCAGCATTACCGATTTTTTAATCCTTATTTTCTGCCCCGATCTATATTCAGGGCGCCGCCATCTTTGTGTGGGTAGGTGAAGTCCCTCAGGGACACGTCATCAGCCCACACTAGGCAGACTGTGAGATTCCCGCACATGCACAGTGAAACACCTGGACATGCGAACGGGAATTTCATCTATTCATTCATTCATCAGACAGACGAATGAGTGAATAGAAATATCAGCCGAACAAACTAACACAATGTATCAGTGTATCTGTGTATCAGTGTTAGTTTGTTCGTGCAGGTTATTACAAGGAGGGAGCTACCGGCACGCAGCTCCCTCCTTGTAATATGTAACGATAGAAGCGGCAGGGAGCAGTGCTCCCCACCACTTCCTAAACCCCTCCAGTACCCCCTCTCACTCTATGGGGGTCAATATGACCCCCATAATAGCACAAGGGAGATTAAAATCCTGTGGCTGCTCACTGTAAAAACAAAAAAACAAAAAAAAACAACAACTATTGGCCCCCACCCCTAAACAGTGAGAATGAGGGGGGGGGGCAGTACTCCCCCCCCCGCCCCACCCTTGGGCGGCGGGTGGGGGGCCATAATGAGAATGGGGGGGGACCTACTGCCCCCCCCCGCCCCCACCCCTGGGCGGCGGGTGGGGGCAATAATGAGGGGGGGGAGACCTACTGTCCCCCCGGCCCCCACCCCTGGGCGGCGGGTGGGGGCCATGAAGATAATGGGGGGGCAGTACTCTCCCCCCCCGGCCCCCACCCCTGGGCGGCGGGTGGGGGCCATACGAGAATGGGGGGGGCAGTACTCCCCCTGGCCCCCACCCCTGGGCGGCGGGTGGGCCATATGAGAATTACTGCCCCCCACCTACAGTACTCCCCCCCACCGGCCCCCATCCTGGGCGGCGGGTGGGGGCCATATGAGGGGTGCAGGGGCCATGAAGATAATGAGAAGCCTACACCCCCATTTTCCCTGGTGGGGGCCATAATGAGAATGGGGGGGGACCTACTGCCCCCCCTGGCCCCCACCCCTGGGCGGCGGGTGGGGGCCATAATGAGAATGGGGGGGGGACCTACTGCCCCCCCCGGCCCCCACCCCTGGGCGGCGGGTGGGGGCCCTAAGTCAATTACCCCCCCCAAGGTGACTAGGGGTCCCCAAGCCCCTAGTCACCCACCCCCCACCCAAAAAAAACAAGTCCCTACCTACCCCCCTCACCCTAAAAAATAGTGAGGGGGGGGATAAAATAACTAACCTGTAAAATAAAATTAAACTTACCATTCGACGTCTTCTTTTTTCTCAAATCTTCTTTTTTCAGCCCCAAAAAAGGCCAAATAAAAAAACCATCATAACCGTCGAATTGAAAATAAAATAAAAATCCCGAGCGCAAAAAAAAAAACCTGACGAAAAAAATATAGCGGTATAGCGAGTAGGGGCATATTACTTACTAATACTAAGTAATTTTTACTTAGTATTAGTAAAGTTGGCTGAAAGACCAATTTAGGTCTTTCAGCCTTTTAGTAGATAACTCCCTAATTCCCACGGTATCAGGGAGCTATCTACTAAGCGGCTGCAAGATGCAGCTGCGGCAATGAATAGGATCGGAGTTTCATTCATTCGAATGAAATTCCGATCCGAATAAAATGCCGAATTGCGTTCTAAAAGAAACGAACATACTGTTCTCATTTAGAACGCAATTCGGCAGTTTAGTGTAAAGTGACAGGAAGCATCGTGGGAACACAGAGGAAAGCTAGGGATCATGGGAAAATTGCTCTGACCAGCGGAAATGAAGCACACTTTGCTCCTCCGCTGGTCAGAGCTGGTCAAGCGGAGGAATCCTCCATAAGGCAAAGAGTCCCTACTTTGTCTTATGATTTTAAAGAAAACTAAAGAAGATAGGAAGAAAAGAATAACAGATCCTGAGAGAGGGGGAGAAGAGGAAGAGATTGAGGAAAGGTAAGTTCGGCATGACAGTGCCGCTTTAATGGTTATGATGCTTGAAGTAACCCTTTAAGACCTTCACATTTTAAATTTTTTTGTTTCTCTGATGGCAGTTCCTCTATACTTTAACACCATAAATGCTATTGAACAATTTACTGGGTAAGACACCAATAGATGCAAACAAAAAATACACTTAAAGGAACACTCCACTGCCCAAAAACAAAAATCACTGTTTAGTAGATACATCTCTAAAGAAAATATCTATGCGTTTACATTTTTCCATTGAGAGTATATCTGAGAACAGTTTTCACAAAAGGATCAGTGCTAGATAAAGTTACAAAAATGTAAGTTTTATATTAGGAGGCTGCACACCTTCGGATGAGAGGGGTTCCCTCTTGATACCCCACAATTTACAAAGAAAGTGATGCAAAAGAATAAGGTTGCGCCTTGTAGAATTTGGAATATTCCAAAATAGTGACAAAGATAAAATATCAGATAAAACAATTAAAATGCAAATAAAAAAGTGAAATTTAAATATTTTTAAAAAAAATATAGTAAAAGTCCTAAAGAGAACAGCCAAGCTTAGAGTCAGACGTTCTTGACTGTTTGATTCTTGTAGTTCCAGAGGTGCATGCAAGACTCCAATGGTACAGTATATAATGAGGTATATAAATAGTGCTGGATGGTTATTATTCTACTCACATTTACCAGAGCTATGTCCAGCTCTGGTGTGTATAGCGTGAAGTTGAATGATCCCCACTTCTAGGATATGTGTGG